GCCAATTTGGGAATCTTCAGAATCTGTGTAATGGGCTTAGGAATTGTTCTGCCCTCACCGGGAGCTTTGAAAGCTGACTATTGGCTCACATCTGCCTGCTTCTGCCTTCCAATGCTGGGATTAAGGGCATGTGCCACCACACCTGACCTTTGTGTTAGCAATTCATGATGGTGAGGTCTTCAGTCCTTCTGCCATCATCCCTTCCGCCCCGGTGAGAGCCTTGGGACCTCTCGATGGCACTGATGCAGTGGCCCTCCACCCTAGGTCCTGCACACCACCAGCCACAGGATCATTCCTAAATCTCATGTTTGCTTAAAACTCTTGAGTATCTTCTCATGGCACTCTGGTATTGTTAAAAGAAGAAAAGAGTGAGGCCAGCTGGTGGTGCATGCCTTCAGCTGCTCAAGAGGCAGAGACAAGGATCACAAGTTCAAAACCTTCCCGGGCTACAGAATAAACTTGAAAGCCAGATTCAGTCATGTAGTAAGGCCGTGTCTCAAAATAATACACACACACACACACACACACACACACACACACCTGGGCATTAGCTCAGCATGCAGAAATAATACACACACACACACACACACACACACACCTGGGCATTAGCTCAGCATGCATTGGACCTTGGGTTCAGTCCCCCGTACCAAGAAAGAGCAATAAAGGAGTTGAGCAGTGATATCTACAACTGCAGGAAGTGGTACACAGTAGATGCTTTGAAGTACTTGCGACCAGAAAGGGTACACAGGGAGGCAGGTGGCATCTATGAGCTTTCTAGCTGCTTCTCAATTCAATGACAGCAGGAGCAGGCTGTGCCAGCCCCTCTCTGGACTGAGCCAGAACAGATAGAAGCCCTTGCCTGTACTGCCTCCCTGACTGAGGTGGGGCTGCTGACGTGGCCACCATTTCTGGGAACCCCAGTGGCTGCTGCCTGGGAGCAGTGTGTCCTTGGCTCCCAGCCAGCCCAGCCCAGCCGTCTTGAAGTCGGGAGGAAGCTACAGGCCTATTTAGACTGGAATCTTGGGTCAGTCGCTTCAGAAGCCACTGCAGCCCCTTGAGCTTGCTTCCTCTGTATGTGCAGCTTGTCATAGTGCCATCGCCCCACATTTGCACTGCATTTCAAGAGGCAGCTAGGTGGTCTGCCTGGGCCCCATTCTGGCTCTGAGACCACAACAGGCATCTGTTTTAGCGTCCTTGCCTGTGGAATGAGATGCTAATAGCTAATAGACAGGCACATAGTAGCTCTGGTGACAAATACATGATTTAAATGACCAGTTTCCTTTCTTTAGGAGGGATTGAGAGTCTCACTGTGTTGTACTGGCTGGCCTTGAATTTAGAATCCCCCTCTGCCTCCCAGATGCTGGGATTACGGGCACTTGTTGCCATGCCTGGCCACAGGTTGCCCCATATACTTCTCAAACCAGGAGCATCCTAAGGGGGTTCCACGTCTCCCTACTGCCCCAGCTTTTTTGGTAAACCTTTTGTATGCTTTGCCAGATTTCTCAACGAAATGTCACACTTGCTTGTAGGATCTTTGTATATTAAAGTCATTAACTCTTTGTATGTTGCTTCCTCTTGTCTTTTTCTTGTTTTTGTTTTTCCTTTTGCATGGCTGTGGACTTCAGCATGAGCTTTACCACCAAGCCACATCCTCAGTACCCTTCTTCTTTTTCCAGTCCGATCTCTCCACCATCCCTGTGCTGGGGCCAGAGACATTTTTGCTTAGCCTTCCTCGTCAGGGTGGAGGTTGTGCCTGCCTGAGGCAGGGGTGGTTGCTCTGTGGTGACAGAGCAGGGAGAGCCCTCAGCACAGGGGAAGGGCCAAATGAGGCTCACAGGAGTGGTTCTGGGCCTGTCAATGAGAAGGGAGCTTGTGGTCACTGCCCAGAGAGGACCCTAGAGGTTTGTGGGGAGAGTGAGTGGAGTATTTGAAGTCATGTCACGAGAGACTTGGAGTTTGTTTGTTTTTTCTACTTTCTTAAATTTAAACTTTATTTTCAGATAATTGAAGATTTAATGCAGTTTTAAAAATAACAGAGAAACACCGAGGGCCCCTAAGCCCTCAATTTCCCCGTGTTGATCTCGAAAGCACGAATGCATGAGTGTGTGTGTGTGTGCGTGCCTGAGTTGTTTACACAAGTGTGTATGGAGGCAAAAGATTGATGTTGAGTGTCTTCCTGTATCACTTTCATCTTACTTTTAATGATCTATTTATGTGTATGGTTATATTGCCTGACTGTATGTCTGTGTATGTCACACATGCTGGTGTCCTTGGATGCCAATGAGGGCACTGAGTTCCTTGAAACCAGAGTCACAAAAGGTTGTAAGACAACATGTGGATGCTGAGAAGCACACCCAAGTTCTCTGTGCTCTTAGATGCTGAGAGCACCCACCCCCTCCTTTCTTTTTCAAGACAGGGTTTCTCTGTTCTGGAACAGACTGGCCTTGAACTCAGATATCTGCCTGCCTCTGCCTCCCAAGTGCTAGGACTAAAGGCATGTGCCACCACCCCTTGCAGCCCATCATTTTTCTGAGACAGGGTTTATATCAATAGTAATAGCCTGGAGCTCACACATTAAGCTAGACTGTTGCCAGTGAGCTCCAGGGAGGAGCTGTCTCCTTTCCCTGAGAACCAGGGTTACAGAGACACACTGTTAGATCAATCTTACATGGGTTCTGGAGACCTGGTCCCTATAACTGTGCATCAAGTGCCTTTCCCCCCTGAGCCATCCCCTCAGCTCCTCCCTGTGTTGCTTTCTTACACATCTACATACGGAGTCATAGCCTGAGCACTGGCCCCTTTGGTTCCTAGAGCTACTCCTAGCATCACCATGTCCTTAGGTACTTACTCACATTTAGGCTGTGTGACTATCACACAGACATATGGGCCACAGTGGAGACCCAGGACATCAATCAGCACAGGAGCCCACATTGACTCCTTCACCAGTAGTTTTGGGCCCCCTGCCAACAACCCTTATGGCCCAAGCACCCACTCCTAATTATGCAATTTCAAGAGTGGTGTGTACGGGTCTCCTGTCACCCTCCTGGACTTGACTCTTACTTAGGCAGGCTGCTCTGAGGACCCTGTGGTCTGTGACCCAGATGGAGCTGGGCAGGTCTGGGCTGTTGAGGGGAGTAGCCGTCCTTGGCTTGTTCCTCATTTAGGAATGACTCCAGCCAATGTGTGGAGGGCAACCCCATCCACATCAACAGCCAACTAACTGCTCCAGACATCTTGCAGCTCCAGAATGAGTTTTCAAAACCCCACCTATCAAAGACCCTTGATGGATGTCATCATCTAGAGGTGTTGCCTTTGCTACTGAGTCCATACTTGGGGCTCCAGGAGCCCCTAAAATGGAATGAAAAGCGTATGTACCTTGAGTATGGTTTGCACCCATGCTCACATTAGTCAGTAACCTCTCAAACCAGGACTTGGACTTCTAGAAAGTGGCTAATAGCAGTGCCTTCACCATGAGAGGCAAATTCAAATCCCAGGACTTCTACAGCTGTTTGACCTTAGGCAAGTCACTCAACCTCCCTGTGCCTTTGCTCCTTCATCTGAAGATGAGAGAACTGATAGCACCTTCTTGATCAGGCTGTTTTCAGTGGGAGAGAAAAGGGGGGAGGTGTAGAAGAAAACAGCCTGGAGCAAACAGCTGCTTAAGTGAGTACAGAGACTACAGGAGGGCAGAGCTTCCTTCCGCAGGTCCTTCAGGACATCAGGTCATCATAGTGTTCCTCTCCAAGACATGCACAGGCTCACTTGGATGCTGTCATCTACCTTGTCCCTGTGTGCCAGACTCTATTAATAGGGACCCATGAAGACTTTGGTTCCTAAACAGCTGCTGTTTAGGTCCAGTTGTGAAGCCCTTGGCCTTTCCACAGCTAAGCCAGGCTTCAGTCCTCCTCCAAGGCTGCTCACATTTGAAGCTGACAAGTGTTAGGGTCAATTTTCTTGGCTCATTGTTAGGTTCAGGCTATACTTGGAGTTTGAAGCAGACGGACCTGGCTTCTGGTTTGGATCTGTCTCCTTTGGGTTCTGAGGCCTGGTTGCCCAGGTTGGCCTTGAAGACATGATCCTCCTGCTTCGGCTTGCTCGATGCTGGCATCTTGGGTTCTCCAGGCTGGGCTTCCTGTGTCTTGCCCTGTCCACTCATTCTTTGACCACTCCCTTAAGCTCATCTGTTGTTATCCTTCCTGAAATTGTCCATTTCTCTCTGGAGCTCCAGGTCCCTCGGTGTGGAACTGCAGACTCCCATCAAATGATAAGTTAGGTTATGATGGACTGGTGTGAGAGTACAGTCCCTAGGGTTGTAGTGGAGCTGAAGAAGTCTATGCCCAGGGACATGGTAGCTGTCATGGTGTCACAGTGTAGCATTGATTGCAGGCAGTGTCACATCCTGAGTGCTGTTGGTTCAAGGACGTTGAGCACAGTGACGTTAGGAATTCACACTTGGTGACAGTGTAGACATCTGTGCCTCGAGTGTTCATTGCACCACCAAGACAGTGCTTGGCTGGGTCATTGGTGGCATAAGCCTATGGTGGCTGGAACTGGATGTGTATGTGGCTGGGTGTCTACCATGTGACTTGCTTCCTCTGTATGGCTCTGCCAGGCCCAGCCTGCCAGGTCCATGCAGCAGAAGAAGGCAGAACCCAGAGGCTGAAGAACCTGCTGCAGGCTCATAGCTGCTCAGGGGCAAAATGGGCCTGGGGCTGCAAATTTTGATATGACTCTGAGATAGAGACCCAAGCAGGAGGGGACACTAGGGACTAACCCACTGCTGCTCAGAGGAGAATGACACAGTAAGTCTTTTACCCCCCCCCCTTCCCCTTGCTTCTTTTCTCCAAGTATGCTACTGCTCTTCTTGGACAGTTGAACAGTGGCATAGTCTCTGGCTCTGTGTGGAGAGGACATGAGACATGAAGGACAGAGGCCATGTCACAAGTGAAATGAGCCCCACTGCACCCAGGTCAGCACTCACCCATTCTTTTCTTTTGCAGGCACCTTTACATCCCCAATGGGGTGGCTTCGCACCAAGTTCCTGAGCTCTGTGAGTTTCCTGATTTTGCTGTGGGTGGCTGGCTCTGGTAAGTCACCACCTCTCATGTCATTAACGGTTAATGACATGTCAGAGTCCTGAGGTTCGTCAATGAACATGACAAAGCCCTTGTAGAGATTGTGTGGTGTCGGAAGGGGCCAGCTGATAACAAATGTCCCAAATAGTTAATTTGCATTGATACTAATTCAAAATGAAAATTGAGATTGTCCTGAAAAATGAGTAGAAAATACTTTGAGTTATATACAGAAGCTATCAAAAGATGGTGGGAAACTCAGGTCAGAGCTGAGTAGGGATGGTGTGGAGAGGGGGGAATTGTAGGTTAAATAAAGTGGGTGCTCAAGGATGTTCTCTCAAGGGACAGTGGGTTCAACTTGAAGGAAAGCAAGGGAGGGCGTGCCAGTGTCTGAAGGTATGTTCTCGGTGAGGCCCCCAGGCAGAGCCCACCTGGCATCCGGGGGCAGAGTGTGACACACATGTCACAGGGCCACTGAGTCAGAGGACCTTGGAGAGTCTGAACTGAGGACCTGGCGATCAAGTGAAGACCAGGGTGGAGTGAAGGTCTGGGAAGAAAAGAAGTTTCTGGATCAACCTAGAAGGTCATAGTGAGGACACATGGGAATTGACTTCAAGGTTTCTCATCCATGTGGCCAGGTGTGGCTTATACCTGTCAGCTCAGCACTCAGGAGACTGAGGCAGGAGGATTGTGAGTTTGAGGCCATCTTGGGCTACATAAAAAGTCCAAGGCCAGCCTGACTTAACTATGGAGACACTGTTTAAAAAAAAAAAAATGGACCCATAAATTCTGCCCCAAGCCCAGACAAGGGCAGACTGTTCTGTGTGACAGGAAAGACCAGAGCAGGTGTTGGAGGAGTGGGGTCAGGAGGTCAGACTTTTGTTTGCTGTGTGAACACTTAACTGCATGGGGGGCCACACCCATTGGCATGTGTTTTGTAACTTTGTCTGGAACGTGGCCATGCAGGGCTTGTGTCAGAAAGCTCCTGAGAGCCCCAAATAGTAGTCAGAGCACCCAACAGTTAGCAAACCCCCACAGTCACTGGCTGTACCACAGCGCCTGGTCTCTGAATTGTTGGCAGGGAGCTGGCATGTGAGTGTTTTTCCCCTCCTTCCCTCTCTTCTGTTAGCTAAGCCTCTTGAACACTAGAGGACCAAGAGCCTGAGAAGTACAGAGCAGGGTCAGCTTCTTGCCTCAGTGGATAAGGGGATGAGGGAAACAGATGTAGGGAGTGGGCAACTCTACAGGGCTCCACCTCTTCTCCTGTGCTTTAGGGTGGGTGCTACCGGGATGGAGTGGAACCTCTGAGTGTGTGTGTGTGTGTGTGTGTGTGTGTGTGTGTGTGTGCTCGTATACGTGTGTTCTTCGTCCTGTTTGCACTAGCCTCCCTCTTACCTTGGTGGTGGGAGACTCTTGCCATGATTCCCATGCTCGGGTCATCTTGTCTCTGCAGGGAGCATTAAGGTCCTGGGTGAGCCCACGTGCTTCTCTGACTACATCAGCAGTTCCACTTGTGAGTGGTACCTGGATGGCACTGTCGACTGCAGATCTCAGCTCCACCTGTCTTACTGGCTGGACTTCGAGTTCTATGAGTAAGTAGGATAGGGACACAGTGCCCAGAGGTCTATCCAAATCTTTGCTGCTCCCAGTAGGCACCAGGATATGTTGTGCTGTGTAGCTGTGGCAGCTTATTGGGTGGTGTTTGAGGTGGAGCCAGGTCTGGGGTGAGGTATCCTGTGTGATACTACAGTTGAGCCGAGCCTGGAGCTTGGTGGTGCAGACCTAGCAACTTGGAAAGCTGAGGTAGGCCCACCTGGGCAACTTAGTGAGATCCTGTTGCAAAATTAAACAAGGGAAAGGGCTGAGGATGTAGCTCAGTGGTAGAGTACTTTTTGGCGGATAACCTTGAGTTCAGTTGTCAGCACCTCACCCCACCCCCACAAGGTACAGAGGACACTGTAGGACTCTGGACCCACTCACTGTCACTGTACTCATGTGGCTGGAATAGCCAACTAGATCAGCACTTCTCTAACTTCTCTTGCACCTAACGTTAGCAAGTCCTAGAATTAGATCTTGTCTCAAAAAAAAAAAAATCACAAATAAGGTTGGCAAGATGGCTCAGTTTAATCTCCAGGATCTGCATGTTAGGTGGAGAGAACAGTGGAAGTTTGACTGATGGACCCCTGAGCACGCTTAGCCATGGGACAAGACTGTGTGCAGTTTGTTGTGTAGATGGGTGGCAGGCATGGTGTCCAGGGCTTACACTGTGATATTCCCAGGTACCCAAGTGTTCTGTGAGCATTGTGCCTAGGACAAAACCAAGTCCACACTCCCAGTGCTCCAGACACACACAGAGACATGGCTCTAATGCCTTCGGGGTGAGCTTCCATCCTCCTATTGCCTTAAGGCAAGCGAACTGTAATTTTGCACATTGACCAGACACTGGCAAACTGTGGACCTCGGGTCAATTGGCTACTACTTGTTTTTTGGCTTTTGTTTGTTTGTTTTTTAAGACAGGATCTCTGTATGTATCTGGCTGTCCTGGAACTGGCTATGTAGACCATCCTGGGCTCCGACTCACAGAGATCTGCCTGCCTCTGCCTGTGCTGGAATTAAAGGCATGTGCTCCTACAGCAGGCAGACCACTGTTTTTATGAATAAAGTTTTAGTAGCAAGCACCATCTCATTGATTTGCATCTTGTCTGTGGCTGCTTTAGGGCTACATTAGCAGTTTGTTGTTGTGACAGAAACTATATTGTCTTCAAAAGCCTTCAATGTCATGTCTAGCCTTTTACAGAAAATGAGTTTTGGCCCCTGGCCCGTGAGATCTAGTTGGCCTGTCTAGGTGGCCCATTGGCAGGATTACACTGGTGTGTACAAGACAGGAGCCTGTGGGAAGTGTGCTGGGCCTATTGCAGTCCACTGTGAACTGAGGGATGTTAGGGCACCATGGATTTCTTAATGCTCTTGAGCTAAGTCCTGGGACTGAGGTCTACAACCAGATCAACACAGGAGAGTTCAGAATGGGGTGGTCCAGGGCTATGGCCAACTCCAAGTCAGGTGCCTGCCTGGTCCTGGCTGCTTTGGTCTTCCTGTTGGGCAGTTGGGTAGCTGATGGGTGACCATGGGAAGTTTCCTAATCCAGCCTGTATCTGCAGAAACCTCACATGCATCCCAGAGAACAGCGCCAGCACCGTGTGTGTGTGCCACATGAACACTGATGATCTGGTCCAGACAGACATCTACAAACTGGTCCTGAGGGCTAAGGGGCGATTGCTGTGGCAGGGCTCCTTCAGGCCCAGTGAAAATGGTAAGGCCTGGTTGGTGGGTTGCTCCACCACAGGGAGGTGGGGTACGCACTAGCTGAAGGTCAGCTGCTGGCTTGCCACGTGGCCTTGACCATGGAAGACTGGCCTTGCTCCAGCACAGGTCCTTACTCACCCAGAGTCCCTACAGCAATCCCTAGCATGAGCTTGCTCCCACATAGTTCGTTTATTTGTATTGCTGAGGACAGAACCCAGGACTTTACAGATGCTAGGCAAATGCTCTGCCACTGAGCTATACATCTCCATGCCAGTGTAGTTACAATAGGAATCCAAAGCAAGAATTTGTTGCTGGGAGACCAGGGCAAATCACATTACTTATCTGTTCCTCAGCTTGCCCTCATTTTGTAGATCAGAGAAGGCAGGCAGCTTGCCCTAGGTCACACAACTTCTCAGTACCAGAGGCAGAACTGAAGACCACATCTCCCCAGGATCTCAGGGTTTTCTGTCCATCATTAGAACTGCTGCTCAGGCTACTGGGGATCCACGAGTTATCAGAATTAACCCATGAATGAGTTTAAAGTCATTTTCACATTGACTTTACCTTACATGCTACAGTTATGATTTCATGGATATGATTACGTAAGAAGTGATGAAGCTGAGTGAGGTAGCACACTCCTGTAATCCCAGCACTCAGGAGTCAGGAAGGAGGTCAGGAGTTCGAAGCCAGCCTCTCCTAATAAAGAAGATGAGATGAAGTTGTTAATTGGGGCATCAAAACAAAATAGATTTCAAGGCTCAAGGCCCTCATTCAGGCTCCCTTCCTCCCCAGTGAAACCCCTGGCTCCAGACAACCTCACAGTCCACACCAATATCTCCAATACATGGCTGCTGACATGGAGCAACCCGTACCCATCAGAGAACACCCTGTACAAAGAACTCATCTACATGGTCAACATCTCCAGAGTGGACAACCCTGAGGAAGTGAGTGGGTGCCATGGATCCCTGTGGTTGAACAGGGCTGGGAAGGATGGCTCCATCTGTGGAGTAGGGAGCTTAGGAGGTGGTGTGGGGTAGGACAGTGAACTAGAGAGCTCACTCCTCACCAGACTCTGCCCCAGGCACGTCCTGCCTCTTTCTAGTCCTCCATTTGCAGTGCGCAGCAGTGTTAGCCAGTTTTCCATCACTAAGATAAAGTACTGAGATAATCAACTGTAAGAGGCAAGGTTTATTTAAGTGTGTGATTTCTTAGAGACCAGTCCTTGGTCATGTGGCCCCATCACTCTGGGCTAGTGTTGCAGCACCATGGCAGGAGTGGAGAGCAGAGCCACTCAACCTCATGGTGGCCAGAGACAGAAAGAGAGGGACACACACAAGCATGCACCCACTGTCCTAATACCTCCTAATACCTCATGCCTTTGTGACCCACCCTTCTCATACTCAACAGCAGTTCCACTCTAGGAACCAAGCCTCTATGGTGTGGACTCTAGAGAATGTTCTGGATCCACACTGTAGCCTCAGGAAGAGGACGTATCCCTGCCGTCTTAACTCTGTTAGTGAAGTGTTTTGGGCCACATCTGCTTCCCAGAAGGGAATGCATGAGGTTATGGGTGGCAGAGTGGTCACTTGAGGCTGGGCACACTCCTGGACACTTTTGCTTTTGTGTGTCATTCATGGTGACCTGTGTTCTGTGCATGGGTCACAGCTCCTGGCTGAACACATATTAAGGTCTAAAAGTAGAGTTGAGCTGGGTGTGGTGGTGCATGCCTGTAACCACAGCCCTCGGGACAGAGGAAAAGGATGAGAAGTTCTAGACTAGCCTGGGCTACATAGACCTTTCAGACAACAGCAACAAACAAACAGAATCCCCCAAAATTGCTACACAGCGAGGTATCATCAGATAGACAAAGGCAGGTGTCTGTGGTAACTGCTTGGGCCCCTGCAGTGGGGGCCATTTCCTGCCATCCATATCCTCCTTCCCCACCTTCCTAGCGTTCCCAGTGGTGGGATGACCTCCAGAATCCAAGGGATTTCCCTGATGAAGTCACTTACCCAAGATCATACAGTTTTGCCTTAGTTTACAGTGTGTTCAAACCCAGTTTAAACAATTTGTCCAGATTATAGTTGATATCCCATGCCTAAGCATGGGAGGAGTCAGGAGAGGGCTGACACCTTCTGTGTCATTCTCTCAGCAGTGGCAGGGTTGTGGGAATGACCACATGCCCAGCATGGAGGGACCACTCAGGACAGCAGCTAGGCTGGGAACCAGCACACATGCCTGCCAGCTGAGCTCTCATACATTCTCTCCTGACAGTCCATAGTATATAATGTGACCTACATGGAACCTAAGCTGCTCCTCCCAACCAAGACCCTCAAGTCGGGGGTGCACTACAGGGCACGGGTGAGGGGCTTGGCCAAGAGCTTACAAGGCACGTGGAGTGAGTGGAGTCCCAGCATCATGATACACAACCGTGAGTATCAGGGCCCTGGGCTGTGAGGGTCCCTACAACTGTGTGTACTCTCTAGTCAGGAATTCCCTCTGGCTGACCCTTAGGGTTTTCAGTCCCAGAATGCCTCTCACTGTATATCCCTGTGGATGCGATACAGTGGTCAGAGGCTGTGGTAGCAAACAGGCCCACAATTGCATGGTGGTCAGTGTTCAGTCCGTTGTGAAACAATGTTAGTCTGAGTGTCATAGACCGAGTCTGAGTCCTTGTATCCAGCACAGCATAGCTGCACAGTCAGGGCTGGGGAAGGTTGTGTGGTTGGTTCAGTGGTATTGCTGGGGGCTGCAGAAGGGGGGGGGGCTTGTACACAATGGGCACAGTATATGGCACATGTTTTTTTCAGCAAATTTAAGCTGTGCTTAAATGACCTTGGGGTACCTGCAGTGAGGCAAGCATATGGGAGTCTGGGAGCAGTGGAGCTGACGTAGTCAAAAACAGAAATGCAGGGTTCGGGAGATGGTTCCATGCCATGCAGGAACCTGAGTTTAAATCCCTAGAACCCATGTAAAAGACGGGTACAGGAGCATGCATTTGTAACCCTGACGGGAATTAGGAGACTCCAGAAGCTGGTGGCCAGCTAGCCTATGTAGACAGTGATGAGAACACACCCATCTCAAACAGTGTGAAAGGCAAGGACTGACACACATGGGGTGCACCCCTGCACTCAGACCCTAACACATATCATGAACAAAAGATTGAAAATTGATTAAAAACCAAAAATGTAAACAAACAAACAAAAAACCCAGGTCGATCCAGATGAAGTGCCGGGAAGGAAGGGGAGGCAGAGTGAGGGTGGGGAAGACAGTATTAGAAATCCTTTTCATCAGTGGACAAGGGACGTCTGTGCTCATGCTGGATGTGTGACCTTTTTAATCCCATGGTCCTCACAGCCTGTGAGAAAGATGTCTCTAACCCCACTGAACAGATGAGAACCCAAGGGAATTACCAACTTGCCCCAGACTGCTCAGCAAGGACTTGGACAGAGGAAGCTTTGAACTCAGGCAGTGCACTGGACCTCTGAACTTCTGGAAACAGGAGCAACAGCTTCAAGCTGTTGTGATCCGGACTTGGATCAGGGACAGTGAGGATTCGGGTGTGGTAAAGCCTGGGTGTGTGAGAGGGAGAATTAGGGAGACAAATGGGGAGCTCTCTGCAGCCAAGTAACCAAGGGTCCCGGGGAACCCCGAGTGAGTGGAGGCAGACTGCACATGGCACAGGGCGGGCTTCCAGCTCATGGCTGTCCTTCACCTTGCAGACTTCCCGCTGCCCCTGGTGCAGCGCCTCCCACTGGGGGTTGGCATCTCCTGCCTCTGCATCCTGTTGTTTTGCCTGTCGTGCTACATCGGCATCGTCAAGTGAGTTTCTGCTTTGGCTGGTGCCTCAAGCTGGCCCTTCTGCAGTGCTAGGTGTGGATACCCTGCTTATCTGTCCCGGCTGCCATAATACACAGTCGCTGAATGGCCACTGTGCTGGCTGAGACAAGGATGGCAGGGTCTCTGGTCCAAAGTCTGCCTCTCAGGCCAGGACAGCCAGTGGCTGGAGCGTTTTCCACGGTGGCTGTGCTCAGGAGAAGAGAGCAGGGGTGTGGGAAGAGGGTGTGATGGTGGGTGCTCTGGAGGGAAGGAACTGGGGAGGGATCTTTCTCTGGCACAAAGCAAATGGAGTTGTTCCTGTGTCCCTCTCAGTGTCCATGGTATGGTCTGGGCGTTGTTTATGTGGTGGGAGCAGAGGGATTTGAGCAGATGGTATGAATATTGTAGGATATGAGTGAGGCCTATCGGAAGTGCTTGCTGGTGGGTGGCTGGCAAGCTGCCCATAACCTGAGCTCTTCTGTAGGCTCAGAGTGACTGTGAGACCAAGACCTCCAGGGAGCCTGGGCAGGCCTGGTAGATGGGGAAGGTCTATTTCTGCTGAGTTCTACCTTGGAACCTGGACCACAGGCCATGGTCTTTGTTTAATGAGATTAGCAGTAACTGAGGATTGATGCCGTGTAGTGCCCACACTTGGCTGAGTCTGCTGGGAATGCCAGGTCCTCTCTGTGGCTTACCTTTTGTGCCCAAGTAACCCTGAACTAGGCACTGCTGCCCTGAGCCTCGGTTTCTCTGTGCTTTGTTGCCCTTCCCTTCCCCCACCCTATCTCCCTGCACCCAGCATCCTGCAGTTCTAAAGCCACATGGCATGTTCTTGGCCATGTCCCCACCCTGAAAGTTCTGTCCCTTGACCTTTTCTGGGCTATTCCCTTCTACCCCCAGCCCTGCTTCTCCCTCCCACCTTCCTATCCACACTTGAACATTGTTGTCTTTCTATTTTTGTAATTGTTTTGGAAGCCATGGCCTCACACATCCCACCCTATCCCCGATCTCCACCCTAGCCTTCTACCTCAAGACAGGGTCTTGTCAAGTTGTCCTGGCAGGCCTCTAACTCACTTCAGCTCAGGAAGGAAGACCTTGCACTTTGACTTTCCCTGCCCAGACTTCTGAGTGGCTGGGACGATACCGTGCCTGGCTGTGGTCTTGCTCATGGTGAATGAGCACCACGTGACCATGTCTGCCTATGCTTCTTGTTTCTCTTGAAGGCTACTACCCACAGGGGCTTTGCCTGCCTCTTTGCCTGCCTTGGTCCCTGTGGCCCTGGCCTGGCACAGTGCTTGATGAATAGTAGGCACTCAGCAAATACTGTGGGAATCTGGTGGAATGACAGCCACAGGAGCCAGCCAGTCCAGGAAGAGAGGGAGCTGCTGCTTCTGCATGGTTCCTGGCCGCTCGGGCCTGTTAAAGCCAGTATGGCAGAAAGCTACTGCTACTCCTAAGAAGAGTCTGCTGGGGAAGCAGGATCCTTGCTGTGTAGTTGAGTCTTTGCTGGGGCAGAAGCAGCCTCCCCAGAGACTGCCATAGTGTGAGTGTGCAAAGCTGCTCTGCCAGCATCACATGCGCCCTGGGCCCCTCTCCCCATTCAGAATGGCCATGGTGATGGATGAAGTTGTCCTCAGCAGGTTAGGACCAAGATTTTTTTTGCATATCCAAAATGAAGTCAGTGTGGCCTCGGTGCCCTGGGAGGAGTGCTGGCCAGGATGCTCACAAGAGCACCTTGGCCACTGCACATTCAGAGACCAACCCACTTCCTTTACCCTCAGGATTAAGAAGACGTGGTGGGACCAGATTCCCACCCCAGCACGAAGTCCCCTGGTGGCCATCATCATTCAGGACTCACAGGTAGGAGGATGCAAGTGTTCCATAGTGGGACTCCCAGCCACAGGTGGGGTGGGGGCAAGGAGCAAACCACTGGGACTCCAGAGCCAAGGGTGGTAAACCACACAGTAGACAGTTGCAAAGCCCACACCCATGTCCATCTGGGCCCAATATTATTTCTGCCACGTTCTGCTGGTCACAGCGAGTCCTATGGCCAGGTCAGAGTCAAGGATGGGACAGGGGAGCCAGAGTGTCTGGAGCCATTTGCCACCTCCAAATGCACTTCAATTCATAGAGAGCTAAGGCTCCCAGAGCTCTGTGGGGCCTGCATGGACCTCAGCCGTCTAGACACAGTTGCTGTCCACGAAGACACTGAGCCTTCTGTAACTAGGCTGGGCTGGCAGACAACACCCCATTTTCTCATTGACTGTTTTAGGTGCCTCTCTGGGAAAAGCAGACCCGAAGCCAGGAGTCAACCAAGTGCCCGTATGTATCTGAACTTGAACTTGGGTTGTAGCTTTTGTGGATTTGGGAAATGTGAGAATGTGGTAGATACTCGGCTGATGGCAGGGTCATTCCCTCTCTCTGCCCCCCACACAGCTGCCTTTTCTCTTCCTGGCCCCAAGGGGGGGCAGGAGGCAATTATGGGTGGCTAAGTCCCCATTCTACAGTGAGAATAGACTGGGTATTGATAATAAAGTCAGAAGTCATATCTATGACACCCTGATATCAATTAGTACAGGGTGATTCCATGCAGGGTTCTAGAGGATGAAAAGGAGCTTTTCAATTGTGGTGAAACTGAACCCTAAATCTTGTTTCTGCAGACGCTGGAAGACTTGTCTGACCAAACTGCTGCCCTGCTTGCTCGAGCATGGTTTGAAGAAGGAGGCAGAGTCCCCAAAGGCTGCCAAAACTGGGCCTCTCCAGAGTCCTGAAAAGGCAGCCTGGCGTTCCGTGGAGGTCAACAGGACAGTCCTCTGGCCAGAGAATGTCAGTGTCAGTGTGGTGCGCTGTATGGAGCTGTTTGAGGCCCCAGTAGAGAGTGAGGAGGAAGAAGAGGAGATGGTCAAAGGGGACTTGAGCATGTTACCTGAGAACAGTGCAGGTGGTTTGCAGGAGGGTCAGGCAGACATCATGGCCCGGCTCACTGAAAACCTGTTTTCAGACTTGCTGAAGGCTGAAGATGGGGGCATTGGCCAGTCGAGCCTGGGGGAGTCGTGCTCCCCTCTGCCTTCAGAAAGTGGGCAAGCTTCAGTGACCTGGACCCGCTTCCCCATGGGGTCTGAGGAGGCCACATTCGAGGCCACAGAGCAGCCTTCACACCCAGACCCTCCTTCAGGCACCCTAACCCATGGTGCAACTGACCCAGCCTGCACGCAGGTGCCACTTGTCATCACAGACAATCCTGCCTACCGTCGTTTTAGTGACTTTGACAGCCCGTCCCCACATCCTGAAGAACTAGCCTCAGAACAGCAGCAGGCTGCACACCTGGAAGAAGGGGACCCTTCAAGCCCAGCTGACCCTCACTCTTCAGGCCCACCTATGCAGCAAGTGGAAAGCTGGGAACAGATCCTTCACCTGAGTATCTTGCAGCATGGGGCAGCTGGCCGTGCCTCAGCCCCTACCAGTGACTACCGGGAGTTTGTGCAGGCAGTGAAGCAAGGTGCCATCCAAGACCCCAGGGTGCCTTGCTTCGGGCCCAGTGCAGATGCTGGTTACAAGGCTTTCTCTAGCTTGCTCAATCACAGTGCCATCTGCACAGACACAGCAGGGTTGGGGACTAACAGTGGGCATGGAGGCTACAAACCCTTCCAAGCAGGACCAGGGACTGACAGTGGGCATGGAGGCTACAAGCCCTTCCAAGCAGGACCGGGGACTGACAGTGGGCATGGAGGCTACAAGCCCTTCCAGAACCCTGTTCCTAACCAGTCCCCTAGCTCCATGCCCTTATTCACCTTCGGACTGGACATGGAGTTGCCATCCAGTTCTCTGAACTCAGTCCCACCCAGCAGCACCCCAGAATGCCTTGGTCTGGAGGTAGGACTCAAAGGAGGTGACAGGCTAAAGGTCCCTCCTGCAGATCAAGTGACCAAGCTCTTTGGAGATGACCTAGGCTTTGGCATTGTCTACTCTTCCCTCACCTGCCACCTGTGTGGCCACCTGAAGCAGCACCACAGCCAGGAGGAAGGTGGCCAGATCCACATAGTTGCTAGCCCCTGCTGTGGCTGCTGTTGTGGGGACATACCACCATCCCCAGGGAGCCCCTCAGGGGCCTTGGAAACATGCCCTGGGGAGATGCCACCAGAAGCCAGCTTCACCTCAGCACACGGGACACCTTCAAACTTGTCAGTGGAGGGCAAGACCGCTGATCATGCTATTTCCAGCCATACCAGCAAGGTGTCTGCAGGCACCCTGGGCATGGCAGTTTCTTAGGTGAGTGAGTTTGTTGTTGTTGAGGTCAGTAATGAGGCCAGAGTTCATCCAAGCCAGGGAAATGCCTCCCAGGAGACAGCCCAGCTGGCAGGTTTCCCAGAAATCTAGAGAAGGCTGAATTGAAGATGTGAACTCAGTCTGACCCTGAAGCTTGGAGCTCGGCTGCCTTCCCACCACTGGCCTGGGCTCTCCTCACAAGGGATTCGGGGGCTCAGTATTCTGTGTCCAACAACAGTGCTGAGGATCCTAAGCCCATTGCTCCCCCAGTTGTTGGTGCCCTACCTGCTCAGGCCCATTTTTTTTTCACCAAATAGATCTGTTGCCCAAGGCTATGGGCAGTCCTGTGTCCTAAGCCCATTGCTCCCCCAGTTGTTGGTGCCCTACCTACTCAGGCCCATTTTTTTTTTCACCAAATAGATCTGTTGCCCAAGGCTATGGGCAGTCCTGTCATAGCTGCTTCATTCTCACTGAGCTGGAAGCTAAGCCTATAAACTCAGAGCTGGCTTGGCAGTGGCTTGGGAGGCACTAAAAATGGGTAGAAATAGTAGGTTCAGAGAGGGCAGTTATTGGCCCCAAGGTGGCCATTCATTGAACAGCTACTGTGGGTTAAGGCTGGAGGCAGAATCTACTGTCCCAGCCAACTCAGTTGTGGAGAGCAACAAGAAAGTTTTGATTGTCTAAAGTAGCCACAGTCACTGCCAGCTGCCCACATGTGACCTGCAGCCAGGGCTCCTGGTATGTGGAGGTGGAGATGCCAAAAAACAGCCGCAGCTGCCCAGTGGAGGGTCCCAGTGGACACCACTACTGGCAGTCAAGATGAGTCCACAAAGAAATGGGACTGGTTGTGGTTGGTGGCCAGGTGGTAGCAGACAACAGACTACAGTCTGACTGCTTTCTGGAAAGATGGGGCCAGGTTGAGCAGTGTCTGTATGTCTTTGCCTTTGCATACCCAATATGTTTGCAAGGAGGGCAGGCCAGGCCACATGGAGCTTTACATCAATAAAGACTCTTTTATCTTGTCAGTTCTCCTTTATTACACACACACAAACACACACACACATATGCCAGGCTGACATCAGTTTTACAGCAACTCATTGAGGCCTCCTGGCCGCCTATGCAAAGCAGCTGAAATGTACAGTCTGAGGGAGCATGGGACAGGGTTCTAGCAGTTGGTTTAAGGGGGTAACTTGGGAATGGGACAGGGCTGCAGCTGCTTCATCCCTCACCCTCCAGTCCTGGCTGCCACAGCTTGTGCCCAGGTGTGCCTGCTGGGGGCTGGGGAAGCCAGACACCTTTCTCCAGCTCCCACTGTCTTTGGTGGGGGCTGTTTCCAGGGGCAGGGGTCCTCCTCTGTTTCTCACCTTTAGGCAGAGTGCAGAATATGTTGGATGCTCCTTAGCACACAGAGGACATGACACTGGCTGCTGTGTGTTGCTGAAAATAGGATAGCATTGTCATTGGTAGGCCCCATAAGTTAGGCAGAGGAGTGGTGGGATGGAGACCTTGCAGGCCAATAGAGAACTATCATAGTCTGTAACTTGAATATGATGCTCAGACAGAAAGACAAGAGAGGTCACTGAATGAGGCTTAGAGAAAACCATATTTGAGGTGAGCCCATGGTACCTGCAAAAAGTCAGGAAGAACTCAGAACATGCTAGGCAGCAGGCAGCTTATGTCCAAAAGATTGGTCACAGCATCAGAGATTAGGGTCCTGGCATGATGGGGGCCAGTGTGCAATTGGATACTGTAGTTCTGCCTGCTGAGAGGTGGTCCAGGAGACGCCAACCTGGTCTTTCACATCTCGGCACAATGTTTTTAAAGACAAGGTCTCATGGTGCCTCAGACTGGCCTCCGACTCACATCACTGTCTCTTGAGTGCTGGGATTATAGCACTACTATACACAGCTCCCCAGAATAATCTTACCACACCCCTAAGCAGGAGCTGAGAGGAAATGGAGCCTCCCAAGGTATACCTCAGGTGGGGTTCCCTCCCACCTGGCAATAGCAGAAGTCTGATGTTAAAATCCCATTGCTCTTATTTGCATCCTGCAGGGAAATGACTCCCACGAGGATAAACTATCTGTCCCAGGGAATTGTTACCAGCCCACCCTTGGAACTTCCTCTGTGTAGTAACTCTTTTAAAAACTACCTTCAGCTGGGCATGGTGGTGCATGTCTTTAATCCCAGCAGTCAGGAGCCAGAGTGTTTGAAACTAACCCAGGCTTTGTGGTGAGACCCTGTCTCAAAGCAGCCTCTCGTGGTCTGGCACTTGGCTTTCAAGCTCTGGTCCTTTGCCCCCACCCCCACATACTGTCTGTACCAGGTCTCATTTGCAAATCTGGGAAGCTGCACAGATCTCTGTGGCTACACAGGCTCCATCAGCACACTCTTCCCATTCCTGGGTGTCCTCTGATAACTTAGGTGCCAGAGTGGAAGGTATGTGCTTTTGGCACTTGGGTTCTGCACACAGCTGTTTCCTGGACTCACGAGATCCTCCTACCTGCAGTCATTTAACATAGAGGGTGCCAGCCTGTCTGTGCCCTCCTGGCTCCCCCATGCCCAACTAGCTAAGGCCTACCCTTTGTGAGTTCCAACTGTCCCCAGTCTTGGTTCTTTATACTATCATTATCCATACTGTTATTATCAGGCAACTTCTCCCCGGCAGGCAGTTGTTACATTTTTCTCAGATCATGATCACAAATCCGAATTTTACTTTAAGTGTCCAGGAAGAGAATCAGGATGTACACAGGAAAATGTGTGCTAGTTCCATAAAGCAGCCCACAGAAGGAGAGGCCAGTCTTGACTCTTGGTTCAGGGTGTTCAGCCCACAGTGGCGGGGAAGGCATGGTGGCCACAGCGACTCTGTCTGCAGTGGAGAAAGCTTGCAGTGGGCTTGTATGCACCTTGGTGACAGGAACTGGAGGTGGCTATCGCCTTCAAGGTCCACTGATGGCCCGTTTCTGCTAGGAAGGCCCAGTATCCAAAAGGCTCTGCCATCTCCCAAAACAGCGCCACCAGCTGGGGACCAAGTGTTCAAACAAACACAAGCCTGTGGGAGGACATTTTACATCCAATAATAATAGGACATTGGCTCGGCTTCACCTGAAGAGGGGACTTTGTAAACAAGTGGCTGTGTACAGTGGCTCCACCCCACAGCTGTGTGCTGAGGTGGGGACGGAGACCGCTTCCTGTACTATCGCCCAGTACCACACACCAAGGGAGTTATAAAGAAAAGATGTTTATTTCAGTTCACAATTCTGAAGTCAAGAGGTGGAATCTCATTCAGGGCATCCCACAGGAGGACGAAACAGAGAGACAGGGAGGTAGAGAGAGAGCTAAAGAACATGCGCGCGCGTGTGTGGCGTGAGCATGTGTCTGGTTTGCGTGCACAGTCACTATGATTCAGTTAGGGCCTACTCTAATGAGTTTACTTAAGCCTGATCTCCTACCAAAGGCTCCTCTAAATGCCACACTGACTCATTTCCCCCTTTTAGTCCATCTCCAAAGGCATTCAACTCCAGCGGAGCTTCCCTGATGGGGGGGGGGGCGACACCACATTCAAACCACACAGGAAATGCTTCCCGTTGCTTAGTCGGGCGCCTTGACATGTGGCTGGTTCGACTGAGGAGCTGAAATTTTCGCTTAAAAAATGAACACAGTTGTTTACTAGCATCTAAGTTTTGTGTCCGCATGTTTTTGTCGACGGCCTCCACCTAGAGGGGACAGGGAAAGAGCTAGAAAGGTTGGTATGACATGGGGGGGGAGGTGCCTGCAGGCGGGGGGCGTGGCCAGCCCGGTACTGTAGGCTGGGATTTTCCCAGCAGCCCCCGCTGCCCTGGGAACCACGTTGAACCTTAAACACTGTGGAAGACAATGAGGCTTTGAGAACA